TCAATGACAATACAGAGTACAAAGCGTACAGAGCTCATTTTCTTTTTATGACAAATATTTGCATCTGTCTGTCCATTCAACTATGAGTCCATTTGTTCAAGAACTGCTCTTAAATAGTAAGAGCTATGATCACCAAATTTGGAAGACAGCTTCCTCTTATAACTTAAAGCAAGGTCAGGGTTTGGTTGTGCCAGGAAAATGGGATATGCCAGGAATGGGACTGCTTCTCAGAAAACCATACAGAAAGATTCTGAATCAGGCCACCGGGACTTGCCCAACCTCCAGCCTCCAGGTGCATTTTAGGGAAGGCGAGTGGGACTGCAACTTCCCCTATCCCAATTCATCCAGGGGTTGCATACAACCATACAAAAGTGAGAAGTTTCCCCCTCCCATTCATACAGGGATGTTACATTGCTGGCTGGTCCCCTTTGTCAGGGAGCAAGTGGGAAGTGCTCAGTTTGTTGAATTCCTCACTGACTGGGAAGCAGAGCGGGGAGGCAAACCTGGGCCTACCCCAGCGCAGAGGACATATACCCTTCCCCCAGTTGTGCCTGACGGAGCTGCCGTGGCTATGGAGAGGTGCATTCACGTGGCCCCAAGCTGCTGTGGTGAGAGAAGGCTGGGGAAGTTCTCTCTCCTTGGGGCAGGCTGCTTCCTGAACCCCTGATCCCCAGCCCCACCCCAGAGCAATGATTTAAATGAAGAGAAACAAAAATTAATTGAGTTAAGGACCAAGCCATGGCTGATAAAACTTTTAGTGATAACTAAAGGAAATAGTATCTTTCAATTCACCTCCTGAAAGTACCATCGTGCAATCTCCATCATGAAAGTGCAACTTACAAATGTAGATTTTTATATATTTTTTGGTTACGTAACTGCACTCAAAACCAAGACAATGTAAAGCTGTAGAGCCGACAAGTCCATTCAGACCTACGTCTTCAGACAATCACTAATTGAAACCAATTTGTTCACATTTACAGGAAATAATGCTGCCCGCTTCTTAATTACAATGTCACCTGAAAGCGAGAATAGGCATTCGCGTGGCATGGTTGTAGCTGATGTCACCTGATATTTATGTGCCAGACTCACTAAAGATGAATAGGCCTCTTCATGCTTCAGCCATCATTCCAGAGCTAAGCTTCCATGCTGACACCACTCGTGTGTTTGTGTGTTACTTAAATTTGTGACTGAACTCCTTGTGAGAGAGCTGCATGTCTCCAGCTCTGTGCCACTTGTATTCTGCCACATATTCCACATTCTAACCATCTCAAAGGACGTCCTAGCAGATGCTGTTCATTTCAAAAACACCTTTGTTGCAGATTTGATACACTGTAAAGAAGGGATCAAGGTGAAATTTCTTATGATATCGACAGCACTCAACCCAAGTTTCAGATTCTGAGGTGTGGAGCACGATTTCAAAACTCTAAAAACAGTCACACTCTGATGTGCCAACTGCAGCACCCAGACCTTCAAAAGAACCCACAGCCTTCTGCTGGTGGCATCAGACTCATGATGAAAATGACCATGCATCAGTCTGCACGGCTTTGGATCATTATCAAGCAAAGCCCATCCTCAGCATGGACACATGTCCTCTGGAATGGTGTTTGAAGCAAGAAAGGACATATGAATCTTTAGGACATTTGGTACACAAATATCCGGTGATGCCAGCTACAACAGTGCCATGCGAACACTTGTTCTCGCTTTCAGGTGACGCTACACAGGAAGTTCTGCAAATGGAAGCCAACTTGTTTGTCTGAGCAGTTGGCTGGACAATTAATACGACTGGGTGGATTGAAGGCTCTATAGTTCAAATAGCTGCATTTTTAAATGCAGTGTTTATATATAAAATTCTACATTTGTAAGTTCAAATTTCATAATAGAAAGTTTGCACCTTGGTTCTTGTGGTGAGTAAATTGAATAAACACTGTTTCTTTTAATTTTTAAAGGTGCATTCATTTGCAATCAAAAACAAATATTAAGTGAGCAGTGTACACTTTGGCTACGTCTAGACTAGCATGATTTTCTGCAAATTCTTTTAATGGAAAAGTTCTTCTGTTAAAACCATTTGTGGAAAAGAGTGTCTAGATTGGCACAGACGCATTTCCGCAAAAACACTTTTTGCGGAAAAGCATTTGTGCCAATCTAGATGCAGTTTTGCTCAAGAAAACCCTGATCGCCATTTTTCCCATCAGGGCTTTTTTGTGCATAACAGTTTTTAGCTGTCTACACTGGCCCTCTTGTGCAAAAACATTTCCAGAAAAGGGCTTTTGCCCGAATGAGAATGTCAAAGCATTTGCACAAGAAGCACTGATTTCAGACAGTAGAATATCAGTGCTTTTGTGCAAAATCAAATGGGCAGTGTAGACAGCTGGCAAGTTTTTACACAAAAGCGGCCACTTTTGCGGAAAAACTTGCCAGTCTAGACGCTGCCTTTGTGTTCTGTGTTGTGATTGAAATCAATATATTTGAAAATGTAAAAAATATTTAAATATAGTTCAATAATGATATTCTAGTAACAGTGCAATTAATCATGTAATTTTTTTTAAATTGAAAAATGAATTAATTTTTTTAAATGGCTGATTTGGTCCAATTTTACCCTAACTTGCTCTAATTTCAAGAGCTTTCATATGATTTTTCAACTTCTGGTCACTGTAAACACAATGAACCTAAGCACCTAACTTGAGATCTGGAACTGGATTTCTCCAAAGTGTTTGGAGGTCCACATCTGCAATTTCGAGTTCAGACCCATACCTAGCATCAATGTACTACCCTGATCACACCACCAGAGGAAATACACCTGGTTTATTGAATATACATTGTGAAAATATTTTGGATTGTGTTCAGATATTTCATAGTAGATAAATATCCCTGTGTTTCATAGTGTTTACAAATCATCTTTCAGTTTCCATTTAAGACATCCCACTATAAAGTTCTCATGAGTATTGCAGGTGAAAAATATTTAGAGGCAGCAGGAAGGAATAAGAATATTCAGCAAATTTTTCACTGGTATTCAACAGTGTTCAATTGCAACTGTTGTCTTTTTACTTTCAGAAAACACTTGTCTGCTATTCTGCAAATGCTGACTCTCTGGTCTGGACCACTCTCCTGAGGCCAAAGTGTTTCCAGATCTCATCTGAATGTTACAGTACCTAAGACATGCTCAGTCTTATACTTGTATGAACTAGAGCAAAGACCATACATCAGTTACTGAATCCGGTTTGATGCTACACGTTTGCTTAGTCTGAAGCCACTAGTTTTGTTTGGCCATTTGAGAAGATTAGTTTCAGGTGCTAATATTGAAAAGATGGGTCAAGAAGAAAGATCAACACCACTGCAGGAAGAATTTCAGTTCAATATTAATGGTTATATTTCTACAGAAAAGATATGCATCAGAAAAGCAAGTGCCCAAGACCGTTTTTATGCATGTTATTTACATTCTATGCAAATCAGAAATATTTAAGTCATCCACAGTTCAAAAGCTGAACCTCTTTTGGAGGGTTAACTGTTATTTAAATATGCTTTAGAAAAGGAGGTTGGACAAATTATCTTTACATTCATTAACAGTTAACACAGCTTGACTTCTGTAATTTATACATTTGTTGTATAAGAAACAAGATTAATTTCAGACTGCACATGTTAAGAATTCCAAATTTTCTCCCCAGTAATGCTCTTCTTTGATTGGATATCTACATTATTTAGTTTATCTTGATGATTGGTCTATTAATTTTCTCTGTCGTAAAATAACACTGGCAAATGTGGGGAGAAATTGAAAGAATATCTCAAAATAGAATAGGTTACCTAGAAATATAAATAAAACCCAACAGAATGAAAAGACGTAGTTTCCTAATTGATAGTTGAAGTCTTCAGTTGCATCTGGGACGTAACCACCAGATGCTCCTACAATGGCCTGATGAAATGGGTCACAGGGAAATTTATTACTTGCAGGCTTCAAACTGCGACTCAATGGCCCAGCAAAACAAGAAAATGCGCCCTGTATTACTCAAGCGGAACAGCCTGGATTCGGTTGATTTTATGCGACAGCCACACCACCGCAGGAGCAAGTCCCAGCAAGTCCGATTCAAAGATGACAGTACCAACAAGAAGCCAATTGGTGCCACTGAAACGGATGCTAATCCCACCAAAGACACAACGCTCGTGATTGGAAAGGCACAAATGTCCAGGCACCACCCAACCTATTCTCTCTCTTTCCCAAGGGCTCAGAAAGGGCATCGGAATATTGCTATTCAAACTTCTCCCAGCCTCAGGAAGCACTTTCCTGTTTTTAAAAAGAAAAAACTCACAACAAGTAAATCGTTAATGGAAATGTCAACTGAGTCTGAATGCTCCATCCAAGTCAATGGTGATCTTTCTGAACATGACATGCCTTTGGACCTCTCTTACTTGAGAATAACGGGACATTTGGAAGATGGATCTAGAGGAGCCAAGACATCCAGTCGGTTATTTCCAAGTGTGTCTAAAGCACAAAGTAACGGGCCTATCCACTCAGACCCAGACACTTCTGCAATACTGGAAAAGGCAACTGTTTTCACACAGGTGCCTGAATACATACAGTTAAATTCTCCGCAGGACAAGAATGCTAACATTTATACTCCAGACAAGTCCACAGATTTAGTACATTCTCCTCCTACTATAAGCCAATCCAATGAAAACTGTACATGGTCATCCAAATCAGGACAATCTCCCTCCTGCTTAAGCAATGCCAGTAACTGCAATGACATTCATCCACATGATGATTCTTGTGAAGAAAAAAGTGTTTTGGAGTTACCTGTATGCGCTAATGACTCTAGCACTAATGAAACCACTCCACTATCCCTTCCATCCAATCAGAGCTCATCACACTGTTTTCTCGGAGTTCATCAACAGCCAACAGCGCCTGAAACAGATTCTGAGTGTACGGTGCTCACTAAGGATAATCATGGACGGGCATCATTGAGCAACAGCAATGATGTTCCCTCGTGTCACACGGAAATGGATAAAACTTCGACACCGTCCTGTGTTCCAGAGCATAGCAATTATTTAGAAGACTTTCACAGAAAGTCCCATCTTCCAGGGAATGCAATGAAACCAGAAACCCACAAAGAGATTAGAGACATTAATCAAATTCACTTGGCACATGGCGATCTATGTGCCCTACAAGGCAGGCTGCAGTCCATAGAGGAATCTTTGCACTCAAACCAGGAGAAGATTAAAGTGCTTTTGAATGTAATTCAAGACCTGGAAAAAGCTAGAGCCCTCAGTGAAGGGTATGGTGTACTTTAATATCGAAACATTATTTTGCTAAGTAATTTATCCAAAAATCCAAAGTGGCATTTTGCTTTCTTTTAATCGTTGCTATTGCAAATCTTCCTTTGAAATATTTAAAGAAGCATTTGAAAAATCATATTCTATCTACGGTTTTATATTCTTGAGTCACTACAGGTTAAAGATGTGTTTTATATTTTGGCTTTAATTAGCACTAAGTTTACAGAACATTGACTCGGTTAGGGCTTATCTATGTTGTCCACTCATATTTTGATTCAGAACCCTTGTCAGAAAATAAATATCATGTGGCCTATAAACTGGTGGCTTGAATCCAGTTAAAAGCACCATATTTCTATGTGACAAGAAAAAAGGGCTTGATAACAGATAACATTAATTGCTTGGAGATATGAAAGAACATGGAAATTGAACTTCTCTCTCACTACTTAGGTTGGTGCCTTCAAACAGAAATAAGGCACATAAAGCAGTATAATGATATTTTCCCTTCCACTCCCCGTGCTGTAAACATTGTGGGGGGACCTTAATTCTCTTTGGCTGCAAATTCAGACCCTTACTTGTACCATACACACCACATGAAAATCATTAACTAGAACATGTTTAAAGAAATGCAAGCAAAAGTTATGGAATTATTATGTTCCCTTCTGTGATCACAAACACAGAAAGTAAAAGTTCATGATCCACATTAAGGCTTTATGTATTATCCATCCAATCACCAGCTCTGTCTTGCAATCATTACTCATATGCATTAGATTTCCAACTTCAATGGGACAACTCTGCAAGTATGACACACAAGTAACAGTGGCAGGATCAAGCAACTTACTATTAAAAATGACAAACTGACATGTCACAGACACACACACACACACAGAGTTTTATAAGGCGCAGAATGTCACCAAGTTTAAACCACAAGCTCAGACATGGAGTATATTTGCTGAGATTACATTTCAGAACTCTTTATGCAGCTAACGCAATAGTTAGAGATAGTGTCTAACTTTTTTTTTTTAATGTTGCAAATCAATCAATCCTTTGTGCATGCAAAAGAAGTTTAAGGATCTCTCTGTTTTGTTTTATTTTTTTTCAAACCACATGCACCTGCAAAACAGTTAGCTGCATATTTAATTTGCTTTCATAATTACCAGTAATGAAATGCAAATAAGATAATTGCACATGAAAATGTCCAGCATGGGTCATTTGCATGTAAAACGGAGCTATGTGTACAATTACCATCCTTTCTATTAAGCTCACGCCATGTACAGTAGCAGTATTTAATCCTTACCACTGACTACCCTAAGGTGGATATCCTGCACTTCCTTCCACACTTGCAGAAGGTTACTGGGCAGAAGGAACAGCAGGATGGGCAGTACCTGGGCTCAGGCTATGAGGCCAGAGACTTTACAGAAACATAGGAATGAACAAGAGAGGTGCAAATTGGAACTGAATGCTCTACCACCACACAATCCTTCTGGGGCCGTAGCGATAGCTCAGGGCATGTAGTCGTGAAACCTCCCTGAAGCAGTTCTGCTAATTTTCTGTAATCTCCAAGGAGAAAGATATCTTCCCCAACCCCTTTCTATACTGGTAGAAGAGAGAGTCAGCCCTCCTTCGCCAAAAGCCTTGTTGATGATTATGCATGTGAATAGCCCAGAAGGGTGCAGCGCCAGAAAGTGAAGCACGGACCATTCTGCAACACGTGTTCTTCCTTTTCATTCTGTTCCCACATTGTTGGCAACTGAACTTCTGCAAGTCTCCTCAGCGGCTCTGTGTCAGCCTCAGTGACAGGCTTCAATCTGTCATTCTAGAATCATTTGGTGACAGGCCCACTTATGAGGGAGGAGGAATGGGGGGGGGGCAACTACCCTGAGGACCAGCTATTCAAAAGGGCCTGGGACTCCTGACCACCACCGCTGATACTGTGTCAGTGATGGTAGCCAGAGCCCCACGCAGCATGCTCAGAACAAAGGTCCATCCAGCCCGATATCCAGTCTGCCAACAGTGGCCAATGCCAGATGTCTCAGAAGGAGTGAACACAACAGATAATCATCATGTGACCCCTCCCCTGTCATCCCTTTCCAGACAAACAGACGCTAGGGACACCATTCCTACCTATCCTGGCTAATAGCCATTGATGGATCTATCCTCCATGAATCTAGCTAGCTCTTTTCTGAACCCTGTTAAAGTCCTAGTTTTCACAACATCCTCTTGCAAGGAGTTCCACAGGTGCTAAGAGAAGAAAAACTTTCTTTTGTTTGTTTTAAACCTGCTACCTATTAATTTCATTTGGTGACACTTAGTTCTTAGGTTATTAGAACAAGTAAATAACTTGTCCTTCTTCACTTTTTCCACACCAGTCATGATTTTATAGACTTCTATCATATCCTCCATTAGTCTCCTTTTTTCTAAGGTAAAAATTCCCAGTCTTTTTAATCTCTCTTCATATGGGACCCGTTCCAAAGTCCTAATCATTTTTGTTGCCCTTCTCTGAACCTTTTCCAATGCCAATATACCTTTTTTTGAGATGAGGCGACTACATCTATACACAGTATTCAAAATGTGGGCTTATCATGGTTTTATATAGAGGCAATAAGATATTCTCTGTCTTATTCTCTATCCCTTTTTTAATGATTCCTAATATTCTGTTTGCTTTTTTGACTTCTGCTGAACACTGAGTGGATGTTTTCAGAGAACTATCCACAATGTCTCCAAGATCTCTCTCTTTCTAGTGGTAGCTAAATTACATCATAAGTATAGTTGGGATTCTTTTTTCCCATGTGCATTACTTTACATTGATCAACATTAAATTTCATTTGCTATTTTGTGTGGTGAGATCTTTTTGAAGCTCTTCACAGTCTGCTTTGGTCTTAACTATCTTGAGCAGTTTGTTATCATCTCCAAATTTTGCCACCTCTCTGTTTACCCCTTCCTTCAGATCATTTATAAATAAGTTTAATAGGATGGGTCTCAGGACAGGCCCCTGGGGGACACCACTAGTTACCTCCTTCCATTCTGAAAATTTACCATTTATTCCTATCCTTTGTTTCCTGTCTTTTAACCAGTTATCAATTCATGAAAGGACCTTCCCTCTTATCCCATGACAACTTACTTTACTTAAGAAGTTTGGCCAGAGGCCAGACAATTCTGACCTATCCTCCCCCTCTCCCACCCTTGTTTGATGCTAATTGTTCCCATTGTTTTGTGAGAAGCTACACTACCACTCCTGAAAAGAACAGCCTGAGGTTAGCAATCAGCAAATCATTTTGGATATGATTATACACTTTGCATACAGATAGAGCTGCCATTGACTTCAATGAATTGCACACCTAGAATGAAAGGAGCCAGGCACAACACATCTCTGCAGCAGGACTACATTACTGCTGTTGTCCCCAACTTGCTCGTGACAGATGACTGTCAAGCCAAGCCAAGCCTTGACCATCTCCAGGGACAGCCATTCTGCAACCCTCCCAGTCAGCTTGTACATTTTGTCAACTTTCACGGTAGCCACAAAGAGAAGTGTTTGTTTTCTTCAATTAATTTTCAAATACACAAAGCCTTGTCCAGCAGCTACAGGCTGAAATAGGAGAAACCACAAAAGAACATGGGTTTGGGGGTTCATTAAGCCATTTATGTCCATTTGCCTTTTGTGGCACTCTTCAGTGAAAATGCTTGTCTGTCTTGCTTTTCTGTCCCAAGGAAGGGACAAAAGAAAAGAGAGTGGAAAAATAGAAAGCAAGAAAAAAAAGATACAGTTTCAATGTACAGAAAACATGGCAAATGGTTTCAAATGCGTTCCAATCAAGAGGTGCTCTTACAACTGAACTGTTCTTGCCACATGTATTCTTATAGAAGATAACAGCTGCACAAAACCACCTGCTTTCCAGAGAATCCCCTGAGCACAATATCTGCACCACAGTTTAAATGAGTTTTAGGTCAGAGGTTCAGGATGATAAATATACGTGCTTTGGTTGGGTTTAAACCAGACCCTTAGCAACAAATTTCAGTGTTAAATTTGTGAGTAGGCTCCGAAAAAATGCCTGTAAAGGATGGTCTGATTTATTATAATCCTAGCTTCTCAGTTCAAAGCTTTTTTATATAAATGACAGTGGTTCTTGTCTATTGCAGGCGCAACTTCTATCGCACCGGCCAAGACCTCAACAACTGCAGCACATGCCGGAACACTGCATGTATCATTTACAGGTACCTGCTGCTACTTGGTACAGTATGTATAGATCTCATCAGGGTACAATACAATATTTGCCTTGTCCCTATGGTTCTTCTATTGTAAATCGTTAATAAAAGACTGGAAAGTTACTTTGTGTTCTTTTAAGGCATGGAAAGAAAGTTGTCAAGACTGGCCTTATTTCAAACGGCCTGGTACTTTTAAGAAAATTAAACTAGATGTGTCCGTTGACATGATAGCACATCATTTTTCACTAGTAAGCTTTGTGCCCCGTTGAAGCAGTTTTTCCTGATTGGTATTTCCTTTGGGTATGATTTCTTTCACGTTGGTATTACTGTAATGAAGTTAGAGCTCACAGAAGGTAAAGAATCAATCCTCCTCCAGACTCAAGTTAGTTATAGCTGAAATTTGTGTAACAAATAGACAAGAGCTCTCATTTCAGTTCAAGGAACAATTTTCTTAGTGAGATTGCCATTTCGTTTAGCTACGATTGCGAGGGCCAAGTAATTTCATAGTGTGTTCTGGAAGTCATGCATGTGCAATAATAAAATCTTCAGAGAAATCCTACCAAGACAGAGTAAGATATCTTCAGTGTGAGAACCTCTCTCTTGGTGCATGGGAACATGAGTTATTTATATGTATTGGCAAGGCTTTAGGAGCCATAAACATGAGCCAGGAACCCATTTTGCAGTGCAGTCTATGAACAGAGAACAAAACAAGATATCTGGCCTGACCCAAAGAGCTTGGAATCTAGCTAAGAAAAGAGATCACAGATGGATACAGGAGGCAGATCATGGAGTACAAAGAAGCAATGAGTCAATATTGGTCCACAAGATAAACAGTGCCATCAACACAGCAACTGCCTAATCACTGTCAAGTTGCTTTTATAGCATCACAGCAAAGAGTTTTAAGAAGGAATCGGAAGGAAAATAACTTTTACAGATGTTTGTGAGGAACTCCTCCCAAGCATGACATGTGGGAGAAGCCAAAAAGGCACTTTATTGATATTTTAACCAGTGGACAATGGAGGCTGTCATCATTGGCCAATCAATGGGAGTAGTCATCTCATTAGCAAATGAGAGACGACAAGTCATGAAGTCCCTGGAGGAAAAGACAAACAACTTATTCTTGGTGCGATAGAGAAGGAAGAACCAGCAGAGGGTTTCAAAGGAAGGGATGACATGGTCAAAATGGCGGTCAAATGGATACGACTGGGGAAGGATTATATTTCTCTAGGCCAGAAAAAGAGAGATTGCAAGAACAGAGAGGAGACCATTTTAGATGTGTGGATGAAGAGGAAAGGCTTTATCTTGAAAATATGCAGAAAGAGTTGGCAAGATTTAGACATAGCCTGGCTTTGGAGACCTACAGTCAGGTCCGAATCAAAGATGACATCCAGATTATGGGCCTGTGTGATTGGCAGGATGGTAGTGTTGTCTACAGTGACTGAGAAAGGAGGTGGAGGGTGGTGATGCGGGTGGGGTGATGAAGAGCACTGGTTTAGCTAAGTTGAGTTTGAACTGACAGCTAGAATTTCCATAAGGAAATAACAAGGAGGATAGACTGAGTTTTTAGTTTGGACAGAAAAATAGCTCTGCAACAAAGAAGTGGATCTGTCAGTCGTCAGCACAGAGATGTTAGTTGTTGAACACAGTTGACAGATCAAACAAGATGAGGGTACAGTATCGGTACTGACCTTTGGCTTGGAAGGTCATGTATTTTGTCAATTTTCTCTCGGAAAAAAATGGTGAGATTCTGTGCGGAGAGGAGTGGAAGCAGGAGAGGAGTGAGGGCATCAGAGGAGCGAGGGCATCAGAGGAGCAAGTCAACAATTGCAAAAAGGCCTTTGGAACTGCCAAGGTGGGATGCAAAATTACCTTATCTTAAACTTGGAGATCCAGTAACTAGTCTATGAGTTCTTGGATGATAGATGGAACTTAGTCTACAGGTAGACTACATCCCTCTGTCGGCAGACGGATGTAAATGAAGCACTTCTAAAGTGCAAATGAAGCCAGGATTTAAATATCCCGTGCTTCATTTGCATAATCACGTAATGGCGCTCTTTCGAAAAAGCGCTATTTCAAATATGAAACCGCAGTCTAGACGCGGTTCTTTCGAAAACAGGGTGCTTTTTCGAAAGATCCTGTAAACAGCATCTAGATTGCGGTTTCAATTACGAAATAGCGCTTTTTCGAAAGAGGACCATTACATGATTATGCAAATGAAGCACAGGATATTTAAATCCTGGCTTCATTTGCAATTTTGAAGTGCTTCATTTACATCCCTCTGCTGACAGAGGAATGTAGTCTAAACGTAGTCATAAATAATGCACCAAATGCTGTGATCTTTGTGGTACATCAGTAGAGAAATTGATAGACAGTTGCAGTTTGTGTGTGAAAATTCTGGGGATGTGAGGGAGGTGAAAACTGGTGAGAAAATGTGTATTCAAAATCAGAGGTTTGGGATACTGTGTGTATATGCGGGGAGGGGTTCTTTGGTTTTTGTGTGTGTGTGTGTTTTTTTTTTTTACTTCAAAAGGAATTAAAATGAAAGTCAGTCAGCCTGGTATGACCTATGTTACTATTTGTATATTGAATTAAATAAAACTTGGGGTTTGTTTGGTTTTCAGTTATTTTATAAATGTAATGCTGCAAGATTTAGTCCTGGAATTATTTGGCTGTATTTGGCAATTCTAAAGATAGAAGCTTTTGTCACTGACTAGAGTAGGTTGATACTGTGATGTGAAATGCAAGTTTGGAAATGGGCTTTGGCAGCTGGGATGACAGAAAAAGGTTTCATCAACTGAGGAAAGGACATTGGAAGAAACAAGGAAAACTTGAAAGAAATTGTCAACGTGGGATGATTTTTTTTCCTCTTTTCCCAAAACTTTGGGATTTTTTCTCTGATTTCCATTTATTTACAGATCACAGTAGCCTTACTCACACACATATCATAAAGAAATGAGCCCAAAGCATCTCTTCCTTTGCTAAGTTACAAATAAATAATAATAAAATAATAATAATAATAATAATAATAATAATAATAATAATAATAATAATAATAATAATAATAATAATAATAATAATAATAATAATAATAATAATAATAATAATAATAATAATAATAATAATAATAATAATAATAATAATAATAATAATAATAATAATAATAATAATAATAATAATAATAATAATAATAATAAAATAATCCTCATGGGCTTCATCCATGTTTTGCTAGACAGATCTCTCATCTTGTCAAATGCCCAAATACATTGCAAAAGAGTAAAAGTTCAACAAATTAGCCAAACACCTCAAAAGAAAACTAATTAAGATGTGTGTCTAAACTGTCTACCTATTGAATGCTACTCACGAGCTATTCAGAACTCTTCATGTAAAAGTAACTTACTGAAGAAAAAGAACAGGTTGGACTCATAACCGCTCTGATAGGTGGACAGAAAGAAACAGAGAAAACCAGGTATTTATACCCCAATTGTGTAGAATGTAGAACTCGGGGGACTCATTCACACACCTTACCTGCCAACAACAATTGAAAAAGATTCTCTGGCTGCCTGGCTATTCAGTGGTACATACAGCTATGTTCTCTGAGGCATGGAGAAAGCTTTGTCACTGGCACCATAAGACAGTCATTAAGAGTTATTAGTGAGAGGCGTGGAAAAAAACAGCCAGAGTAAACAAACTATATGGATTGGAGTAGGCTTCTTTCAATATAGCTCCATATTGTTCAGCGAGACGGTGTTCTTTGTACTGACAGAAAAACTCCTTTTGTCGTGGTACGCTGCGCACAATCTAGGAGGACTATGCCAACATAGCTCTATCAGCACAGGCTCCACAACATAGACAAAACTGATGTTAGAGTTACTTAGGGGATGAGTTTGCTACATTACCTGTAACAAACCTTTAATGAAAATCCATCTACCTGACACACATTTTCCACCTAACTCTGTGCTTTGTGTTTAAACAAAGTTATTCATCTTGTTCATTGTTTAGTCTTCCCTCAGCATAAAGTACAATGCAACTAAGCAAATTTCTTCTCATTTGTTGAGTATAATTAACAAAATTTTCTGTGACCTATAACCTTAATGTGGTGATTGTTTCTTACTATTTCTCTTTCAAATCCTCCAAATGAAACTGAAGCTGTATTAATATTTTACTCATTATTATTCAAAACCACACTGCTGCCTGCTACCTACATCCCAATGTTCAAATAATTAGGAGAGGAAGGCAATTATTTTGATGAAGGAGAAGAGAGATTAAACAACATTACATAACCGCAATGGTGCTGATGAGAACTGTCACTTTACATTTCAAATTATAGTCAAGCTTATATGATGGACTTGTTAGCAGGTCCAATAAGCTAATGAACAAGGAGCAGGAGACATCCTTGTGCTTATTTAAGCAATCAGCTGCATTGTGATAAATCACTATAGTGAATGTCACAATGAACTCAGTGCACAGAAATGTGATTGATTAGATGGCTCTGTATTAATGTGTCGCAATCACTAAGCCAATTTTATAAGTTTTTTACTCAGTTATTCTGAGGGTATAAAAGGTAAGATAAATATAATAATTTGTAAGAATTCCATGTCCTCGAGTGTATCAAAAATATGTTTCAGAGTAGATGATATATTGTGTGGAACACACACACACACACACACACACACACACACACACACACACACACACACACACACACACACACTTACAGGAAAAGACTCATTTCCCTTAATACCCTGAGCTCCCTTCCACCCCAGGTTAGATCATCTATTGGCCTCCTAATGTGTCTGGTAAGTGTCCATTATTCTTGTCTGAGTACAATCTTGAAACTCCAGACCACACTTTGCCTGCCCCTCCTTGCTGGAGTCAGCTGCCTTCCCTTTCTGAGAGATGTACGAGGATAATTTTGAGCTCTTGCTCATTTTCCCAAGGGCTCTCTCATGGGTGGTCCCTAGGGAAGGGGCAGTTCTGTTCTGTCACTTTTGCTTAAAAAGGATGCAATG